ACAAATATATATATATATATATATTTAAAAATAAAATAAAAATTTCATGGATAGGCACAGTTTAAAATAAATGTCTAAAAAGACTCCTTAGTGGGGTAATTTTGGAAAAAGGTTGAGAAACCCGGTTTAGATGTTTATGGGACTGTGAGCCCCAAAGGCAAAGATCACCTCTTCACCAGCCCTTCTGGTACTCTCTCATCTGCCCCTCCCTGTCTCTGCGGCCCCGTCTTCCCTTCTTGCTCCCAGGGGAGAGGCTTTCTCTTGGCCTCCGTGCTCCTTTCAGTCCTTCTAAATGATTCATTTTCTGCAATGGTCCCCAAGTGTTGCATGCGAGTCTGACTGGGTTCTGATTTACTTAAAACCCTTTCCATAGACCAGGTCTCAACTCGGTGCTGCCTACGGGCCCTCCCCCTTCCTCCAGTCCTGTGTTCCAGCCCCAGGGAATGGAACTTACTCCACCTCATGTCTGTCCTGCTGGCAGGCTTTTATCTAGCCGTTTCCTTCCGCCTGGACTGCCACCTAGTCCAGCTCACCTCCCTCAGAAAACCTCGGGTGATGGCCCCTCCCTATGCTGGGCTCCCACAGTCCCTGACTCCCTAATTATGGCTTACACGCCACTGTTTTGTAACCACTACCCTCTCATCGCTTGTTTCAGAGAAGTTCTTGCTGAAACGGGGGCAGAAGCCCTGTCACCTGGACCTCAGTCTTGTGTTTTCATGAGGCAGGATAAGTGAAAGGTTCAGGCCCCAAGAACTCCCAGCAGAAAGGACTTTTAATTCTTCTCAGGAAATATTCTTAACAAGCTCATGCTGTTCACGCTAGTTTCTTAGTTATATGTTGGTGATGTTTTTTCAAGATTTTGGGGCATCTGAATAGTAAAAACCCCACCTTCCCATCTTAGGATCAGTTGCTCCTTTCCTCCTGAAATAAGCAACCAGCCTGTCCCCATCTCATAAAGTATGCTGTACGGTTTAAAGTGCCACCTACATCTCCCCACATACACCTCTCTCTACCCTGACCTCGTTTTCTTTGTAGATATTCAGTTGAAATATTTTTGTTCATTTGTTGTTGTCTATCCCTCCTGAGTCGGAGACTTGTGCCTGCCTGCGTCCAGTGCTGGGTCCCCAGTGCCTGTAGCAGTGCCAGGCACACAGTAGGTGCTCAGTGCATACAAGCTGCCTTCCTTGCTCCCAGTGACAGTTCACTAGGTCCCCTGTTCATGGGCTCCACAGGCAGCCTCTGCTTTGTCTACACAATCTCCCCAGGGCGGGCACAGACGGTGGCAGATGATGATGTGTTTTCCACAGGCACAGCCACTTCCTGCCTCCTGAGGACTCTGGACCATGTGAAAGCTGGACAGGAGTGACTGGCCACTTACTGCCCCCAGCCCTGAAGAGTGAGTGACCAGATGCTATTCTGAGGGCCCTGGATATGGGCCCAGCCTCTGGACATCGGGACTCACAATAAATAAAGACTGTGTACACCAGGCTTTGATTCCTGCCTTCAGCACTGAGGGCCCTAGACTCCCTTCTGGGACTTCCAGAAGACTGCACGGGACATCCCTCACTCTCCAAGGGGCAACTTCCGTCTGTCACTGAGGGCTGTTTTTGTGGGCACTGACCACCCAGCACTTCTGCCTGCACTGTGGGCTTGAGCGGCTCCTGCCATTAGAAGAGCCCTGAGCAGCACTCAGCACACAGAAGGGGGTGCCATGTGGATCCAGGCAGTGGCTGCTGCAGCTTCTTCCTGTCTCCTCAGGGTGTCAGGTTCCATGGGCACAGCTGGTGATCACAGGCTCTAGAGGGCAGGTCTGCAGGAGAAGGACCCCAGAGTGCTGAGCTCTGCATGCCTGGGGCTGCACCCAGATTTACTATTCAGACCTGTTGCTCCCCTGGAGGTGACTCCAAATCTCCAGAAATTGGAAGTGACTTGCCAATGCTGACTAGACTGGCCATTTGAAACCTGAGGATGTGCCCTGGCTTTGAAAAAATGAGCTAGAGTCTGTCCTGGGGATATGATCTTTAAGACAAAGGCAGTTGGCCTGGGAGCTAAGGTGTAAGTCCCAGTGGTCAGGGTGGAGGGAGCAATGAGGTCCCTGAAGGGCTGTGGGGATCTGGTGGCTTTTGTTCCCAGCTCCAGTTTCCTTGGGTTGTAGACTGAGCCCTCCACTTTCTGGCCAACTTCACTTTGCCTGAGTGGGTTCAGTTCCATGTAACTGAAAAGTGTGATAACAGACAAGACAAGATCGAGACTACATTTCAGAATATCTTCCAGTAGGCTAGATCAACTCCCTACGTGGTGACCTCAGGGGTCCAGGGGAGCCAAATGGAAGCCTTAAACCTTTACCACACACCATTGGTCAAAGCAAGACCTGAGACAGGAGTGGCGGGGGTTGGAGGGGATAGCACCTCTCAATGGCATTTAGCTGCAGACTTTTTGCCTGTGTTTAAACTACCATAAAATCTTCATAGTTTCTATTCCTGGGTGTTGGTGAACTATTTTTTATGAGTTTTTCACATGATGTGAACTTTCAAATTGCTATAAGTTTGTTAAGAATATTATAATTCTTGTTTTAAGGTCTACAGAATCTAGTGGAAGCCCCTTTTCCTTTCTGGTGTTGGTTATTTGT